GCATCATGCTACATAAGACAATAAATAAGATTTATATTCCGCTTTTACTCAAAACTCACTTTAAACCACCATCGAGTGTTTGTAATAACTTCCGATTGCCTTCTAATGTGTGTTTTGGCCATGTAATGTTGCTGAAATTAAATGTTATTATCTAAGTCAGAGCAGCGATCATGGAAGAGAGAACACAAGCAGACAGCGCTGGAAGCTGCTAATGCTCATCAGTAAATCAGTGGAAAATAAATAGAAATGATTATTCTATATCTATTTATATCTGTGTTGGTTACATTTTGTTCCTTTGTGCAGTGGCTCAGGAGATGAGACTTTGAGTTTGTATAAAATTGGTATCAAAAAAAGTATCGTTCAGGAACCGGTATCGAAGTCAAGGTATCGGTATCGGTATCGAAAATTTTTGAACGATACCCAGCCCTAGCGATACACCTAACAAGGTCGCGATAATGCTAATTATGTTCCTTTGTGCAGTGGCTCAGGAGATGAGACTTTGAGTTTGTATAAACATCAATAAGCTGAGAAATAAAACCAAAGTTTTTTTTTTTTTAGATAATGTAATCTTGTTAAAATTGATTTCATAAAATTGGTATCGAAAAAAGTATCGTTCAGGAACCGGTATCGAAGTCAAGGTATCGGTATCGGTATCGAACATTTTTGAACGATACCCAGCCCTAGCGCTACACCTAACAAGGGAACACCAATGCTAATTAAAATTCTCCCGATGATAGGATTTGCAAAATCACTTACCTTCTAAAAAAACCAAGGATACAGCAATGTATAACGTCCTTCTCTGGGTTCATAACAACCAGCAAAAAATATTTGTATTTTACTAGCTTATTAATTTTAAGTTAAATTGTGCTTTTAGAAAAATGTCTGCTAGAATGTTAAAAATGTTCAGTGCTAAATATCTTGTTTTGCAATTGATTTTTTCTTTGAAAAGCAAGACAAAACCATGAAAAGCACATTTTGGCTATTTAATTTATGCAATGGGGAAAAAAAACTGGCAAAATACTTCGGCCCAGTGTTTCATTAATTTTGTTCGGTTTTGGCTTCGGCCAAGAGTTTGTATTTCGGTGCATCCCTAATGAATATTATAGGGCCTGATGATTTATGCAATGTGGAAAACATGGAACGGAATCACAGAATAAAGTCATTGAATTTAAAATTATTGTTTAGAATTTCAATTCACATTTGGCAAAATTTGGATAAACAAATAAAAAATAGGGCTGTACATCATATCACAGTTATGGACTAGTGTTTGTGGATATAACAACATTAATGAAAAAGGGATCGGTTTAACTCAAAGAAATTATGACATTACTGTAATATACTTACTAAACTAATTACTGTTATTATATTAATATATTAATGTTAATATATTGTTATCAGGAGTATTGCACAGTTTTCCATATGATACAGTAAACCTTTGTGCAGCACTTTATTTGCTAGAAAGTAATTGTCAAATTTACATTTAATTTACATTTTAAAAGATTAAATTGTTACTGTTTTATGCTTTGATTTGATTATCACAGTTATTATAATTCATCTATATTACATCAGAAATGCAGAAAAATTAAAACATACAACATGATATTTCTGAAAAAATAAAACATTTTATAGAGCCCTTTTATTGTAAAAATGTTTTATACTTGATTGTTAAAGTTTCATGGATTCAAGAGTTAATCAGTTTTTCTCTTACAAACCGCAAACTTTACAGTTTTATTCCTCTCTGTATTCAGAAGGTCTGTCCATATTTCATTCACACTGATTTATGCAACATTTCACTCCTAAAAACACGGTGAAAGTGTGTTTGTTTTCTGTCTGTTGACAGTATTTTCTGATTTATGGAGTGATAAAAAGAGAAAACCAAAATCAAACTCTAATATGAAAACAAAATCAACAAGAATTACGAACCTGGATTCAGATTTCTGTTCTGGGAATGTATGCAAATTAAAGCATACTTATTTAGACAATTCTTCATTTGCATATTTAAATGCAGCGTTTCAGAAAACGTGTAATACAACAAATGTTACCCTATTGACTCGGTCTCTTAACTGTGTGAGGACAGATGAGTAATTATTATACAGATATCCAGATTAGCATCATCATGTGGAGTCAGTGGTTTGTGTCTCCTCCTGCAGGGCATCTTCATGTTCGTGTCCAACAGGGATGAGTTCGGCCGTCTCATCTCCTCCACCAATTACAACATCAGCCGTCTTCATCCGGACATGTGGCAGATATTCGACAACCCAGTGGTGAGAGATTCACACGTGAAGCACATGAGTGCAGAGACACGCACGTGAGCGCAGACTAACCCTGTGTGTGTGTGTG